TGGTAAAAGAACCCATCTGCCAAAGCAGGAGACGCTGGAGACACAGTGATCCCCAGGTCACAGAGATCCTGTGGAGAAGGAAATGGCAATCTGCTCCTGTGTTCTTGCCTGGGAAATGTCGCAGTCAGAGGAGCCTGGTGAACTGCAGTTCATGGGGTCACAAAGAATTAAATAGAACTTTACAACTAAGTTATATTTAATTTAATTAAGGAGATCCAACCAGTCCATCCTAAAATAAATCAGTTCTGAATATTATTTGGAGGGTCTGATGTTGAAGCTGAAACTCCAATACTTTGGCCACCTGATGCGAAGAGCCAACTCATTGGAAAAGACCCTGATGCTGGGAAAGGTTGAAGGCAGGAGAAGGGGATGACAGAGGATGAGATGGTTGGATGGCATCACTGACTCAATGGACATGAGTTTAAGCAAGCTTCAAGAGTTGGTGATGGACAGGGAAGGCTGGCGTGCTGCAGTCCATGGGGTTGCAAAGAGTCGGACACAGCTGAGTGACTGAGCTGAACTGAATCTTGACTCCAAGCACACTTTTCACTACCCCCTCCCCTGACTGCATCCACTGACAAAGTAAAACAATCTACAAAACCAACCCCAGTGTAAGAGAAGGTGAAACAATAAGTAATGCAAAAGTGAAGAAATTTACTCATCTGGATTGGTTTAGGTTTGGGTTTTATTCTTTAGCAGTCTACCTATCTTAAATGACAGCACCAATGTGTAATTTCCTTCTGCAAAACTGTCAGTCTTCTAAATGTTGGGCCAGTAATTGGGGGGCAGGAGGAGAAGGGGACGATAGACAATGAGATGGCTGGATGGCATCACAGACTCGATGGGCATCAGTTGAGTGAACTCCGGGAGTTGGTGATGGACAGGGAGGCCTGGCGTGCTGTGATTCATGGGGTTGCAAAGAGTCGGACACAACTGAGCGACTGAACTGACNTGTATACATATTATATATGTGTGTGTGTTTGTTGGATTGTGATATAAAATGTATTTTTTTTTTTTAGATCAAAGAAGACTGCAGGCCATTGTGGTCAATTATACTGGCAAATAAAAGCACAAATTAACCTCAAAAAAAGAAATTCTTCAGTTAATTTGATAGCGTCTAATTTCCCCCAGACTGAAGCAAAAAAAATGTGTGCTGTTGCTACTGTTGCTAGGGGCTTCCCAGGTGGCGCCAGTCATAAAGAACCCACCTGCCAACACTGGAGATGCAAGACAGGAGGTTTGATCCCTGGGTGGGGAAGATCCCCTGCAGAAGGAAATGGCAATCCACTCCAACACTCTTGCCTGGGAAATCCCATGGAGGAGCCTGGCAGGCTACAGTCAATGGAGCAGTAAAGAGTCAGACACACACACACACACTGCTGCTAAGGTTGTTAACTGTTGTGATTTTGCTGTTGTTGTTGAATCTGTATTATACATGAATTGTAAAGAATTAAAGGAATAAGTTTTTAGGTGTAAACCTTTTGACTGCATGGAAACTCCAATAAGAATTTTTTTAACTATTAATACATTGAGTATTAACATCCTGATAAACCATCTTTTTTAAAAATTTTAAGTCAAAAAGCACAGAAATCTAATAGGCATTAAAGTGAGAGGTTATTAGAGTGTTAAATCTTTTTTTTTTTTTTTTTACAAACCAGATTGTTTCTAACTGATCCTGATTTTCAAGTTTAAAAGTTATGAAATAAGGTTATAAAATCAGGAACCAAATAGTCAACAACTATTTTTAAATTAGCATTTTCCTTGGCACCTTTGCTAGATCATTTTCTCTTTACTGTTGTCCTGAGATGGTTCAGAGAGGGCTGGACACAATCACAAACAATTCATGATCAATCGGGTAGGTAGGTATAAAATTCCCAAAGTTCACTTCATAAATCAGGAATGCACTCAGAGGAGAATGGTTTTGTATCCCACAATAGGAGATCCTAGATTTTAGAGGAAACCCTCGGGGAAATCATTATTTACCTGTCTCATTCCTAGAAACTTCTATCAGGAGACTGTATGTATCAAATAAAATAAGAGAAGTCTGACTGAAATGTTTGCGCTCACAATTTGGGAATCTCTAACGAGGTCCAGATTATCTGCAGACTGGGGTTAGAGATTTGTCATAGTGGTGAGACTGGCTGGTGAATTTGCCCCAATGGATTAGTTTCCATTCATTCACTCAATAAACATCAGCTGAGTGCTGACTAGTGAGCCAGATGTGTGAAGTGACAAAGAAAAGGACAATTTTTAATAAACCTTAACACTCAGCAAGGACTTCCCTGGCGGCTCAGACAGTAAAGCGTCTGCCTACAATGCAGGAGACCCGGGTTCAATCCCTGGGTGGGGAAGATCCCCTGGAGAAGGAAATGGCAGCCCAATCCAGTATTCTTGCCTGGAAAATCCCATGGACGGAGGAGCCTGGTAGGCTACAGTCCATGGGGTTGCAAAGAGTCAGACAGGACTGAGCGACTTCACTTTTTGCTTCCACTTAACACTCAGCTCAGCTTGAGGCACTCAGAAAGTGCTTGAGGGAAGAATTAATCTCAGTCCCTCCCTATCTAGAGAGACTGACATTAAAGTAAAGCCTGTAATAGCCAGAGGCTATGTTAGCACCCTCTATGGTGCAGACCCTGCTTCCTGCCCCGGCACCAACAGCCCATCCTCTGTAGTCTGCAAAGATTTCAGAGTGAGGAATGGATGTTTGCTTTGAAGACTGAAGACATGGCAGTCTTGAGTGGAGCTCCAGCCCACAAAGTAACGTGGTTACAAAATCAGCTTCTAAAGTCGTCATTTGTTAACCACTTTGCAGTCACCATGGTGCTGGTGAAACCTGTGGTTCTCTCATCAGGAAATGCAATCCAGGTAAACACATAGTAACAAATGATTTCAGAAGGTTCATATATGAGAAACCTCTTTCTTTGGAAGTCATATCCAAGAGTATTCGGCACCTAAGAGTCAGACTCAACTAAACGGCAGAGCCCAATTTATACTGCCACAAGTACCTACTAAGCGCCCTTCACCAATTTAGACTTGCAAATCTGTATGCACGCCTAGGCAAGGCAACTGCTAAGCCCCCAAACTCCCATCTGGGTCTCAGCTCCAGGGCACACTGAGCCTGCAGTTCGCCATTCTGACCCCTCCCCCGGTTCTGCCCACCTTTCCCAGCTCTGTGCTTAAGCCAGCAGCACGCAACCAATGAGTTCTTCCATTTCCCTGTCCCCCTTCCCCGCCCCCGCCCTGCCAATTGACCCTCAGGCGACTGAGTTTTAGATACTCAGTTCCCTAGCCCCGAGATTTTTATTTTTCTTGCATCAGTCCCACTCCTGGGTTAAGAAGCAGAAAACTGGAATAAGGCTTCTTGGAAGTTAGGTGTTCTGAACCCTGAGACCACCAACCTGAAAGGGGAAGAGGTGTGGCGCGAGGGCCGTGTATCGAAGAATATACTGTGGTTTCTGAACCCTGGACTGGGTCGTGGACCTGTGGCCTGGGCCACTCATCACACACCCGCGCTGGTTTCGGCTCTGTCTGGCAGAATCACCTAGCTGGGGTCCTTGCAGCCCACCGTTGGCCCGCGATGTGGCCGATGCGCTCGCAGTGCTGGGGCATTTGTATGGGAGACAGCAGATTGCGCATGTGCAGTAGACCTGGCGCCCCTGTAGCCCGGGAGCAGCCCTCTGTTTTCTCCTAGGGCCGTCGAAGAGGGCTTGGAGTCGGAAAGTCAGGCAGAGGGTTCTGCAGCTTAGTTGTGGAGAGAGTACGAAGGTCAACATGCTGCTTAATTGGGTGTTACTGCGGTCGTGTGCATAGGAACCCAAGACATTTGGGACTGAACAAAGTAAACCCGTGTGGATGCCCCCGTGCGCCCGTGTTGTTTTATGAGTTCCGGTGGTGTGGAAGTGGGCACACATTTAGAGGCAGTAATGAGACTGTGTGTGTGTAAGAGTATGACTGGAAGTGTGAAGTGAGGAGGGTGAGAATGCAGAGCTGGAATCACTTGCCATCGGGATATTTTGGCATGAAGCACATGGAAACCGCGGGGACATCGGGAAATAGATTGGGCCGGTGAGAGATGATGGATGGCTGGTGAGGAAGGGGAAGGATCAGTATATGCCTCAAGGTTTAGGAAACATCTATGCCTTACATCTCCCCGCTGAGTGCCAGCGGGGCACCCAGGCCTTCTTACCTGTGTGTTTGGACCACCCATTGCGAGTCCAGGCAGAAAACGAAGCGGAAATTTCCATAGTACGGGTTGCAGTCTTACGGAATCCTCTATGCGGACCAGGAAGCTCTTCTAGATCCCCACCTAGGAGGGAAACAGTTTCTAGCTTGACTCTCCCTCAGACACACGAACACAACCCAATCGCAAAAATGGAAGATAGAGTGTTCAGAGCGCTGTAAGGCTAGACTGGGATCTGTTGCCTTTCACTAGAAACGCCGGATACTAAAATAAAGATCATTTGAGTTTTTTTATTAAAAAAAAAAAAGTTTTCAAGATGGGAATGTAGCTCCCATCTCAAAGATAAGCATGTTGAAACACTGAGAATTTATTTGCTATGATCTTACTAGCTCATATTGGCACAGTTGGTAGTGACTTCAGGTCTGACGAAGTCCTTGCCCCTTCATTTCTTGATTCCCAGAAGCCCCATCCCTCTGTGTATCGTTCTAGCCGCCTGAATCAGACACCCTAGCTTGGGGACAGAATCGTCCACTCTGCTGTACATTAACCCTCCAAGCATCACTTGGGATACTGTCAGACTACAGGGCAGCCAGGATTCCTTGTAATGTTGGACGCTGCCCTACAAGATCGTCGCACAGTTGGGGATGGAGTAGGACGTGTTCAAAACTCGGGGAACTGAACAGGTGAAATTTACCGTGACGTCAATTTGTCCTCAAATTCCTGGTCACTTTTAAGTGTATTCTTTTTTGGGTCCCTACCAACCCTCCCACCCCTGCCATCAGTGATCTCAATGCAAATACACTTGGGGTGGGCTTGCTGGATGCTCCAGGCTCTGGACGCAAGTGGTGACACCATCATTCTGGGGCTTCAGGATCCTTCCCGTCATTGGTTGCCTGGAGCTCTTGGACCACCCCAGACGCAGAGCTGCGGAAATAAGAGCAGCTGCTGGTGCTGGAGGCATCAGAGGCAGGCGTTACCAGATCGTGTGACTTCTGCAGTGCCATCGCCTACCGCCAAGGCTACAGTCACTGCTCCCTCCTCTGCTTCAAGCCGCCCAGCTCCTGTTGCCAGGTAAGTCTGGAGACTCCAGCTTAGCTGGATTCTATTCTCTCCCCTTCTCTTCCCTTTCTTCATTACTTTTTCTTACCTGATCCCCTTTCCGGTATCAAGAGTGCCGGTCCACGTTCTCATCACGCTCTGTGTCACTCCGCGGTTCTTCCTAAGGATTCCTCCACACAGGTAACACTGAACGGTCTTAGTTCCTGGACTTTGTGCTCCACTCTCCCCTTGCCACAGCGGGCTCCGGGCTCGCTTTCTCCCGCTGCACACGTGCTTAGGTCAATTTCTAGATTTTGGAGCTCTCCAGGTGCCACCCACAGAACAGGACGCAGGAATAACTTTGTGCGGACCGAGTGCTCTGGGATCATATCTCATGCGTAGTGGTCCGTCGGAAATAGGTTCAGAACTTGCGCGATGGGTTCAGAACTTGGTCCAGCCAAAGCGGGTGGCAAACAGGTACAACGACTGAGGGGCAGGTAACTGTTAAACGCAAGCCCCAGTTGCAGGTTCTGGGAGCTTTTTTCCCAGTTTAAGTTCTGGGTCTCAATTTGAGACTCTCCCAGCTTGCTTCTTACAGGGTCCTCTTAGCCCTAGTGTGGAGTGGCTGACCAGTAGAATTTGGTTTTTTAATTCTCAGGGATTCCAATTGCTGTGATAAGTCCTTTCTAACCCCCTTCCCCAATGAGATATGAGGAAAAGCCCAGCACCAGCAGGACAGCTCTGGGTGGCCCAAAGGGGAAAGCTGTGGTGACAGGTACTCCCAGTCTGTCCTCCAGGAGCCCTGGCCAACAGGAAACGATGGTGAAGGGGAGGGAGATGTCCAGCCTGAAACCAGGATGCAAGGGTGTTAGAAGTGGAGGTAGGGGGAGAGCCCAGGTCTCTGGGTTCACAAAACGAACTGCTGCAGGTGGTGATGTCACTTTCCCCCTTGCAGAGAGGCGTCATGGGGTTCTGGAAGTTTCTGCCCTTCCTGGTCCTCGGGCTCCTGGTCATGTACCAGGCAGGCATGCTCCAGGCAGCACCGTTCAGGTAAGACAGTCCTGCCAGGTGCCCTCTCGCCTCCCATAAATCCTGTGTTCTCAGTTGTGCTGTGCTGAATCTTTAACAACTGGCTCCTGGTGTGGGGGATGCATGGTGGTAATGTGTGAATGTACTCTTGTATAGAAAACTCATCATAAACTTTTTATAACACAAGGATGTGTAGCACATAGTTTACAAATAGGCATAAAACAGTACTCATTATTATAAGTTTCACATAACTCATTGAACTTCATAACATACTTTTGTTGCTTTTACCAAACATTTGCATCTTGAGCAAAGAGAGTTGCTAATTTAACCATAATCTGAAAAATAGATTTCATCCTAATCTGCTAACTGCTTGGCCAATACATTTGTCATTAATCTTATGTGTGATCTAGTCATCTAATTTCTCATCCTCATTCAAATTATATTTATTAAACTGAAACCATTTTCAGATTCAAACTATCATTATCATTTAATTTTTAACAATAGCTGCATTTAACACTGAGCTCATAAAGTTCCAGAAAATCTATCAGTTTCCAGCAAACCATTTCTTGGAGGTCACACCAGAGCCTAACTCCTGGAGAAGCTACATTTTTGGATAGAAAATGGGCTCGTTTCCTCCACTGACATTTGAAGCAGCCACATCCTCAGGGGAAGCTGCAGAAACCAGGAAACTTGGCTGCTTATCCTGAGGGTGGGGGTAGGCAGGGACTCAGAGCCAGTATTGGACTTGCTTCTTTCCCCTAGGTCAGCCTTGGAGAATGACTTTGATCCTGCTGTACTCACAGAGAAGGAAATGTGCCTCCTATTGGCTGCAATGATGAACGATTATGTGCAGATCAAGACCAGTGAACTGAAGCGGGAGGCAGAGAACTTCCGGTAAGGTTCTGCCCTCCCCTCAGTTCTTACCCTCTCCCCTGGCTTACGAGGAAGGGGTGTCCTGACAGGTAGGAGAGAACATAGGCAGGCAGGCAGCCAGCAAGCTGTCACTGCTCATGCCTGGGGTCCAACTCTTCTACAGGCTCCACTGAAGACAAAGATCATATGAAGGGACTATGGTTGCCCACATGTAAAAAGATGCCTTTCTGAAAGCAGTGGGGGAAGCTGTGGAATTGTTCACTCTGGAAATTGTCTGGCAGTCCAGTGCTTTCCTCGTGCCTCATCGATAAAGAGTCTGCCTGCAATGCAGGAGGTCCAGGTTCAATCCCTGGTTGGGGAAGATCCTCTGGAGAAGGAAATGGAAACCCATTCCAGTATTCTAGCCTGGAGAATCCCATGGACAGAGGAGCCTGGTGGGCTACAGTCCATGGGGTTGCAAAGAGTCGGACATGACTGAGC